GTTGGAGTGATTGCATCCTGCACATTATTTTTCAAAGTGCGATAGATTTTTTATGCTTTTCTTATATTAATACATCCTATGTATACATCCTATCTAGAGCAGCAAAGTGAAATACGTAAAAAAAAAATAAGCTGATGGCGATAAAGTTAGTTGTAAATGCTCGTCAGATAGAACGACTTTCGCTTATGATTCCTTTAAATGTTATAGAACTTCTGAGCTTTTGGAAATCCACATCAGATTGGTAGATCTTCAAATTTTATTCGCTTTAATATCGTTATTTCTCCATCCTTACTTGTGTTTCTTGATTATTTGATTTTAATATGAACTTTTGTATGCAGTTTAAATCAAAAGCTTTATAGCATAAAATTAGTGCTTAAGCATAATATGTAAATAAAAAAGTAATCAGCTAATTTTAGAATCACTGTTATCATTTCCAATTTAATCTATCACTACTTAAATGATTCCCGTAAATAGTCAAGTTTAGATTAAGTTTTATCCCAATAGTTTCCCAGGTATAACGCCTTCAATTTAATCCGGTTGGGGATAGTTCCATCCGATCGTGACTTCGTACATACTTTCCCCGAAATGGCAATAAAATGGCGGTAGGGTTCGTGTTATGATGTGTTTACTAGGTACAATATATTTTTTTGTTATTAAATAAAACTAATTAAAATGACATTTTAAAATATGAAATTTTATTTTTATTTAGTTCTGATAAATGAACTTCGAAATATAATAATGGTATAAATATACTAATAAATATAATAAATTTGAAAAATTGGGCTGCCCAGAAATGTTTTATTAGAAGACATTGGTTTATAATGTTACCAAACAAGCACTAAAAAAGTTCATAGATATTTTATATATGAGGCTAAGGAATCGGCTTTAGAAACAAGATGTTGGTAAATAACATTCTTAAGTTAGTGTCGGTGAACGCGATGAGGCCCTTCATGTAACTTTGTGCACACTTATTAAAGCTTGAGTGACTCTACTTAGCAAACGGAATGTGGTGTGGTAAAGATTTTTATAGAGTTAGTTGGAAGAGATTTATTTCTTACTCTGTTAATGAGTGGAAAAGTAACTTACTAAAAATAAGAGACAATGAGTACTTTTGTGAGAGTTAGGGTTGGCGCGATAGAAGATTCGTCATTTCGCTGTCGTTTGTCTTGGTCGTTATATTAAAGTGTCGTTATGGAATCGAATAAGTTCACAAGAGTGATCGATATTTAGCACAGTTGCCATGACTAGATATTTTATAATCTAAACTCTGTATTAAAAAGTACTCGAATAGAAGTTAGGAGAAAAGTTTCCTTTTCGTTCTGTCTTCTTTCCAATTTTTCTTTTGTCTAAGTTATAATTTGAAAGCGTAATTTTCCCAACTAACAAACCCACACCCAGTCAGATTACGGCTGTAGACCCACTACAAATCTTTAGTAGCTTACTGAAGAGTGGTTCTTATATTTCGAACGCCAAAACCTAAAAAATTCCAAGTAACCAAAAAGAAAAAGCATTTTCAGAGGTTCACTTAATGTAATATTTTTCGAATGCCTGAATATTCTTTATTAATTGCTTTTTATGGGACAATTTTTTGCGTAAAAATTATAAAAGAAAATTATCGATAATAATTATTTACCACCTCCAATAAAAAGATCATTAACGATTATTATTTAACTTGCACCTTTAAGACAAAATGGCTTCCATCACGAGTAAAAGTAATCCCTGGCATAAAGTCAATTTTAAGCAAAACCTAAATCCAATTTTAAATGAAAATCCATTCTCCTTAGAAAAATTACACAAGAAAATGGTAACTGACTACTACTGCCATCCTTTTTTCTTTTTATTTGATGACCCTAAAGACTCCAAAGATTATTAGTTTGTACTATTTATGTATCTGAAAAAGAAAAACGAGTTTTCGAAGAAAATATATGAAGACTCCTTTGATCAACAATAAGGAAGATTCCGAACAAATAAAATTATTTAAATAGTTAGAGTCTGAAACTTTTATGGGTCAACTTTTATTTATTATGTCCTAAGTCTGCGCATGAAGACAAACGAGAAAACATGACGAAGTGCTCGTCAATAAGAGAGAGAGATGGAAGATGGAGCATCATGCGTCAAAAATAAAAGACTCCAAAGAAAATGTTTCTACTAGTTATGATTTTACACATAGAACATGAACGAACACACCGAAAAAATAGTTTTGTTCATTTAAATACATTATTAATATATTAAGTGGTGACTAGATTTCGTCACTATTGTTTTCGCTTTATTCCGAAGATTTTAATTATATTAACAACTAGCTTTTGCCCGCGACTTCGTCCGCGTGGTAAAGTCACTTTGAGCAGCATTTCTAACGAATATTTACTCATTACATCATGTAAAATACCTGAAATAAAGTTTCATCCCCTATTTTATCCCCTTTGTATCAAAATCCTTCCTTAGGGGATGCCTAAGTCATAGTAGCTTTATGCATACAGTCTCAGCCTGATCGATTTTGAAATTGACAGTTTCATGCAAACTTTCATCCCCTATTTTATCCCTTTGGGGGTAGAATTGATCAAAATACTTTCTTAGTGGATGCCTACGTCATCACATCTACCTGCATGCCAAATTTTAACCCGATCTGTCCAGTGGTTTGGGCTGTGTGGTGATAGATCACTATGTCAGTCAGTCACCTTTGAGTTATATATAAATATATAGATTATTATTATTTCATTGAATATTCAGAATAATTATTTGTTATAATTGTAATTGGGAGGCGTTCGATGGCACAGTGGTTAGCGCGCTCATTTTATGATATGGTTGTTAAGCAATTTTCGTAAAGTCTGGTCATAAGATGGGTGACCAATAAAATTTGGCATGTTAGGCAGTTGGTCCTGGCTGCATCTGTGATCATTGCATCTTTGATTTAATTCCATTAGTAGGGAAAATCTGAGCCCCAGTAGATAATATAATATTTTTGTTATGTTAGTGTCCTAAAATAATTAAATCAAAAAAGAAATAAATAAATTAAAACATAATTTGTTTTGTAGTCATTGGCTAAAATTCTGTGATAATGTTATCAAATAAGGCAATTATAGACAGGTGAAACCGCAATGGGTTGGGCTAGTGGTATATATCAGGAAATTACGTCACAAATACTGCGTAGGTCAGGTCAAGGTTCGAAGGAGCTCGATTGGACCATTAATCTGCGTTACAATAAGGACTCTTTATTAGATCCGGATTCGCTTAGCAAATGAACTAAGTCGGGACAGATTAGTCCGAGATTAGCTATTCCGAAATCACATTTACGATAAGGTTTTGCATCTATTATTATTATTTGATGAGAAATACAACAGTCCCAAATACAATAAAACATAAATACACTAATAATATAAATTACTAGTTTTACTTATATAGATCAAAAACAACAATAAATACATGAAAACTTACAGAGATAAATTAGTTAGTGTAATATTGGTGCCACTTTTGTTCACTACAGGTTTAATATAAAATAAAAAAAAAACATGACTGTAATAAGTAATTTTGGCAGTCGTGTTTATATATATAATTATACATTCGCTATATTAAATATTTAAAAAATATTAGCCTATGCTACTCGGGATGAAGTAAAGTTTCTAATGATACCCTATAATTTATGTCTTTCAGCAGTCTTGTAGCAGTTTTTTTTGGGCAGTCAAGTAATAACAAAGGAAATAACGACAAAGAACTTAATGATATATCAGTAACATTTAAAAGTTATATTTGTGGTGACAAAAAGGAACTTAACCAATACTAAAGAGGTGGAAAGCCACCGATCTGTCACTACTAATTGCTAGGAAACTGTTTTACGGATTAAACATAACGAGAAATTAGTTTTAAATAAACATTTAAAATAAACAGCAAAGGTTAGTTGTACCAACTTACATGTTTATATAATATATTAACCGCAGATACCGGTGGGATCAACAGCTTAACGTACCTTTCGAAACACGGAGGAGATAAAAATTTTGGTCACCCATCTCATGACCGGATCTTGCGAAAGTTTCTTTACTTCCACTTATCAGACCGAAGTTCACGAGGACGGTGACAATCCGTAAGAAACGAACCTCGACTTTTTAAGCAAATTAAATAATTCCAATCTGTATTCTACTGTTTCACTTTCGTCTTTCTCTAAATATATTATTCCTTGAATAAATACAATAATACGTAAATACTTTCTTTTTCTCCGAGGGACTGTATCCTGTAACATTGCAAACTTCGTATTTTCTTGAAAGCTATGAAGCTTGTACCATAAATAACATTTTCTGGATGTCTTACAGCGTAAATTTATCAGTGACCTTCCTTTGTACTTGATGGCTATGTTAGGTAGTTATAAATTTTATCTGAATATACTAAAAGTTTTCAATTGAAACCCGTAATTATATTAACTGGTATACAAAAAAAAAGCGATTTCAAATGTTAAATAAAAGTGAAAAATTATTCATGAAGCTTCCTTATGAATTCTATTCTAATGTCTAATTTTGGAAATATATGTGGACAAACATACAGACTTATATAAACTTACATAATTTAGCATATGTGTTTAAGAAGCCCATTTAATTACATACATACAGATCAAATTTATAGCCTCTTTTTTGAAGTATGTTAAAAATACTTATATAGGTACAATTTGAAAGTAGTTTCATGATCAAATCAATCACATGTTATTGGATAGTGATAGACATGATGGCAAATGCCTTAAAAACTGCTTTGTATGTAATATTTGCCGTGTAATAGAAATTATAGCCATAATTATAAAGCAGTTTGCAGTAAAGCATAAAAATAAAGCTTTGCATGAAAGTTTCACAAATTACCTGAAACCCTAAAAGGTAATATATTTATAAAAACGGAAATATTTTCAAAATATTTAATAGTTATATTACATCGAATGACATAGTAAAATAAACAACAATGATTTATAGAAATATTCCATCACTAAACAGTTACAAAAGATCGCTAGCCAAACATCTAACATTACATCAATATACTGGTTTATGAATAGGATACCCAACAAATCTATGAGTACTTGCTTTAGACTTTCGTCTCTTTTTCACTGAAAAAATTCTTTTGCATTTACCTTTCAAATTCCTGCGAGATTTTACGGAGACTGTGCTATTACGGTAGACCTGCTCCGATGCTCTTTCGTCACACAATTCTTTGTTTTCATTTGCATAGATAGAACTCACCATTGGAGATGTGTGTGTAGCATATGCTACATATGGCGATATATTTAGTTGGGGGTTAAAACCTGACCTTTTCTCATTTTTATATTTAGAAGATATACCACCGTGTGTTGGACAATGGGAATCAAATGTGGTAACAGAAATACTAATTTCAGAAACATCTTCTTCTTCCGCGGGGCTTGTACATTTATCTTCGTATCTTAACGTATGGATATTGTTATAACAATTCCCCATCCTTTCATCGACCATATCGAATGATGCGTTAGAGATTTTCGATTGTGCTAATTCTATTGGTGAATTTTTTTTTGTCTTGAATTGACAACCAACGTCTCTTATGAATACGATTGCTTCACTACTTGAACTGTCTTTAGTATAACATGTCAGATCACATTTACTGTCTTTGGAATCAAACTGACATGACTTGCTGTATTCACAACAGCAAACAGTACGTGACGCCATTTGAGTGAATACCGATGCATTTATAGTACCCGTTATTTTAGGGCTCACTGCAAATGGTTGTTGGGGATAATTATTATGGAATTTACAATTATCTTGAACGTGTGGACTCACAGCTACCTGATTATCTAAATTGCTCATAACATATTCGTATTGACATTCGGGATAATATTTGCATTTCGGTATATGGGGACACTCTGTGCTTTCCGTTTCATTTATTATCTTTGGCGGTTCTTCATAACGAAATGTTTTCGATTCTGGTACGCACAAAGGTAAATTAACACACCGCGGCCTATGTAAGCATGGTGGTATATATTCACAGTTATTCTTTAATACATTTGCCCGTTGACAAGATGGAACCACAGTGCAAGGTGGATGGTGCCTACACGCTTTAGTAATTCTTATAACTTTAGCTTGTTTTGGATTTGGCTGCTTTCTTGTATGTTTGTGATTAAGATAAACATTTTCACTAGGTAATATTTGGCATATAGGAATTAACTCACAACGTGGGTCATGATTACAATTATCCTGAGATACATAACTTTTATGTTGATTTGATTTTTGTTTTGAACAACAACTGTTTTTTGATTGCTGGGTGGATGGTTCCTTGAAGCAATACATTGAAGAGTTAACATATTTAACACTTTCTTCTTCTTCGGTTGTACTGATGACGACGTCAACATTTTCTTTACAGTTAGGACATGTAATTTTTTTCCGTTTTTTTATAGACTTTGTTTTATTTTTATGACTTGTGCTATCATTATTTCCACCTTCAGTTAATTTTGATATATTACGTTCTTCTTCAACTGTTAGGACAGCTTCGTTTTTAACGGGTACCACTTCATATTTTTCAGTGATCACACTATAGTCGGTTTGTTTATTTTCTTTAGTGTAACAATTTTTCGATACTTTATTTTTAATTTCTTTTTTCTCTTCTTTTAATATTTTTTCCGTACTTGTGATTTGATCAATTGTAATAGATTTATTTTTTGCCAGTTCTGTGAGAGATTTTTTATCAGTACAAGGGCATGCGTACGAAAACAACTGACACGGACATGGGTCTTCTGTACGTTTACCTCGGTCTTTCTTTTTGTGTTTCTTTTCTTCTGGAATAGGTTTAGTATATTCCGTTCTGTATTTAGCAAATGACCAGAATTTTTGTTGTCTATCCGCTCCCTCTCTTTCATAATATGATCTCTTATTATCTGAATATATATCATCCCTTAAGAAAATTTCAGAGGATAAAAAAGGTTCCCCGGGAAACTGTCTTGCTTTTTTAGAATTAATATCGACACTGTCACGTGGCATAAGTTTTGGTTTAATTTGCGTTGCACATTCCTGCACAATAGCATCAGAATTAGCAGTAAACCCTTTCGATCGGAGAGGTATTGTCATCACTTTAAGCAAATTAATGTTGGAGGAGTTAATGCCATCCAAACCATGAAAAGAATGCCTTTTTGCAATATCGTCGAGATCGTAAAAAACAGTACTCGTAGATCTTACGAGGTAGTCTATGCTATTATCTCGATTGATGTCCTGATACTGTTCACTTGTAACATACGGAGTTGAATAATCTGGATTGATATTCTTTTTCGTTGAATCTCTACATGCATGGAAAACTGATGTGTATTTGTTCGCCCTTTTTGAATTTTTATAACGAATATTACTGAAAGGTGTAGAACCAAATAAATCGTAAATACTTGTATAAGATTTTGCCCGTGGCGTAATCTGCGCCTTCGTCACGTGCATCGTGACGATTGAACGACACGTATTATAATTTTGGTTGTAATCAATAATTTTATCTACATTATATTACTTTAGTATACTTTAAAAGAAATTAGAAATTTAATTATATATTCCACACATTTTACTTTTTTTTTTACTTTTTATGACAATTGATTTTGATATAAATAATCAAATGTCAAAAACCGTTTATTCTTTTTAAACTTTTCTATGAAAATTGATGTTACAAAAAGGATTTAAATGATATCAACGCATTATTTGTGTCTCTTTCAGGTTTCCACATGGCACCAAAACTATCAAAGATGTTTCCGGAGTCATGCCTCCTGATATTCGTCGGAGTGCTGATAGGAGCACTCCTGCTCAGTACGCATAGTGTACACGTCCAGCCTCTAACTCCTGACACATTTTTCTTGTACATGTTGCCACCAATCATCTTAGATGCGGGATACTTTATGCCGAACAGACTATTCTTCGACCACTTAGGAACCATATTATTATTTGCTGTTGTTGGGACCGTCTTTAACACATTGACAATTGGTAAGTATTATTGGAGTATTAATTTATAATGAATACTTTTTGAGCTCTTTTTTCGAATAGTTGGCATTATCATCTTACGAAAGAAATGCAGTCAATTTTAAACTTTACAATTATCGTTTTTGATGGGATTTGACCTTTTAAAGTAATTTAACATGCTGTTGAATATGCTTCCTTTGTTTTCAATATTCATAATATATACACAGACCTTCAATTTCGAAGAAATGCAAGCGCTATGATTACGAAATCACGGCGATCGATCATATATTATAAATTACTTCACAGGAGCATCATTATGGGCGTGTGGACAAATGGGAATGTTTGGCTGTAAGACTCCACTGCTGGAGATGTTGCTGTTTGGCGCATTGATATCAGCTGTGGATCCTGTAGCCGTATTGGCAGTATTTGAAGAGATTCATGTGGACGAAATTCTATACATCGTTGTTTTTGGCGAGTCACTTCTAAACGATGCGGTGACTGTCGTTCTTTACCATATGTTTGAGGCTTACACGTAAGTGATTGTCTTTTCTATGGTCTAGAAGTTTAATATTATGTTAGAATTCGAAGAAGGTTTTTTTTATCATCACTTAGTCATTGAAAATCCTTAAGTGTCCACTTACAGTGTCATTTAGCCTTCTGTCTTTATCCGTTAACAAAATTTTTTACACTTCCTGTTATTTTTTGGCTAACAAAAAGTAAAAATCTAAAACCTAAATAGCTTTATTATATTTGATCAACTTTGTTTTTACAATGCTATACTGAAAAATATTTTAAATGAAACACTCCACTTTATTCCTAGCACTCTGAGATGGGACAATATATTGATGAAAAATACGCTCTGTAGTAGTGGAAAAGTAACAAGTACTTGAAAAATTTGTCAGTCCTGTTAGGTCCTGGGAAGCTTAGTGGTTAGAGCAGTCGCCCGGATAAATAGATTTTTATTTTTTCATTTTTATTATTGATGTTAATAGTATAAAAAACAACGTATCTTCAATTTATTTTCAGTAATTAATATAATGCAAAGTAATATATTAACTGTTTGATAATTGTGATTATTCATAGTATTTACTAGTGGAAATCTTAAGATACGATGTTTGATTAAAAACTCTCGAAAATTGTGTAATATATCCACTTTCATTTGTTACTTTCAGGGAGATGGGTCCTTCTCGACTTGTTTACACAGACATTTTAGCCGGATTAGCTTCGTTTCTCGTCGTGGCAGTGGGGGGTACCCTTATCGGCTGTGTGTGGGGTCTAGCCACCGGGCTGGTGACACGATTTACACACGAAGTCCGCGTGATCGAGCCAATATTCATTTTCGTTATGGCTTATCTAGCGTATTTGAACGCAGAGATGTTCCACATGAGTGGGATATTGGCGTAAGTAGTTCATTGTTTAGTTTTTAATCTTACCCTAAACGTATTAAGATTTTAAGAATAAGTGAAGGAATTTGTTCAATTTGTATAGATTTGTAGTGTTTCTGTTATATGTTCGGAAAATATGAACCATTTATAGAGATTTAATAAAATAAAATTTATGATACTAATTTGGAAAACATTACGCTTTGAAAACTTGAAAATATATTACAACAATTGTTGAAATACATATTGCTTTAAATTAGCTACATCAAACATTACAACTTTTATTATAAACATAAACGCACAAAAACAAAGATTTTGCAAAGATTGCCCAGACGCCCAAATCCGTTTTTCGCTACCGTTACACCATGTGACGTCAGTTAGTGGCTTGAATTTGTAGGGAGCATTTTCGGTAGTAGCAGTTCCACAAACGTAGCACCGTATTTCCGAATTCATTGCAGACATGTTGTTACTTCTTCATTATTTCTCAAATATTAATGGACTATTTATTAAAAAAATGCCAATTTTTTGTGTTAATGATAAAGTTCAAAATAACATACAAAATTTAGAGTCGATTCAATAGCGACTCTAAATTTTGTATGTTATTTTGAACTTTATCATTAACACAAAAAATACATTAAATATCAGGTTTACTGCTTTCATGTACTCGTATTTCAAATGACATTTTTTTTTTATTGTAGAAATTGGGTTTTAGTTTTCTATATAATGCAAAAAATATTATGTTATGTTGGTAGTTAAAATACAAAATCAACAATGGCTGTTTTCAGGATAACATTCTGTGGTATCACTATGAAGAATTATGTAGAAGCTAACATTTCACATAAATCGCATACCACAATAAAATACACAATGAAGATGCTGTCATCCTCATCAGAGACAATCATCTTCATGTTCCTTGGAGTTGCCACTGTTAACAACAACCACCACTGGAACACTTGGTTTGTTTTGTTGACAATCGTCTTCTGCTCAATATTTCGAATATTAGGTAAGAGTTTATGTGAATAATACTTAATAATTTATTACGTTAATTACTATTTTCACATTTTTATATGGATTTCTTAAGTCATGCTCTTAGTTCGGCGGCGTAGTGGGTAGAGCGCTCGGTCTGCGATACGGTTGAAAAGCAACTATCGCAAGGTTCGGTCTTATGGGTGAACAAAAATTGCCTTCCGAAGCAGTTCCTCTATGCTTCGGGAAGCACGTTAAGCCGTTGGTCCCGGCTGCACCTGCAGAAGTTAACACCCACCGATACGCACTGGGCCCACGTGTTGGGATATGGCCCATTGTTCCTATTCGATTTGATTCCTTTTCATCCATACCGAGAGCCTGAACCCCAGCAGTGGAGACATTAATAGACTGGTGATGATGATGATAAATCCAATCGTAAAAGGTATGGCATCTTATACCCTTCAACTTTACCGTTGTATATCAGTTTAATCATTCTTTCAACCGGCATTCTTTCTACATAAACAAATCAATGGAGAAAGCCTCTGTTATAAACTCTGTCATAAATCAATATAATTCCACCAACCTTCGAATTATACTATTACTGAATTATAGATATGGGTCAAAATTCAGAGACATGAACAAATACTTGAAATGTTAACTCTTTTCAACTATTTCAGTGTATATAGACTTAATATTCTTCGATTGTTCCAGGAGTTTACATATTTAGTGCGGTAGCTAATAAATTCCGTTTGCACAAACTAAATACTGTTGAAAAGTTTGTGATGTCATACGGAGGTAGGTTCTGATCACTGATTTAACTGAATAATACTCATAAATATGTATTTTTTTAACTAAATTAATGTTTTAGGTCTCCGTGGTGCAGTAGCTTTTGCATTGGTGCTATTAATAGACCCTGAAGTGGTGAAGCTTCAGCCTATGTTCGTCACCACGACTATAGCGGTGATATATTTTACGGTGTTCATCCAGGGGATAACAATTAAGCCCCTTGTTAAGATCCTGAATGTGAAAACGGCAGAGAAAAGAAAGCCGACGATGAACGAAAGAATACACGAAAGGGTAAAATGGATTATTTTAATGGGTTTGATGTGTGGTACCTAAATAAGAACAATTTTACAAACTATATACACAGAATTCAAATCAAAATAATTTTTAATTTTGTTTCAGTTTATGGACCATTTAATGGCAGGTATAGAGGATATTTTAGGTAAACATGGTAATCATCATATGAGGGATAAGTTCAAGAGATTTGATAATAGGTTTATTAGACCTTTTTTACTGAGGAACTATCAAGTAATAATTTCTGATTATTTTTATTAGAAATACTTATCCTTTAGTTGTGTTTTATTTACTTATTATGGTTTATTTATTTAGGGTGCAGAGCCAAAGATTTTGGAAACATATTCAAAATTAGCTATGAAAGATGCTATAGAATATATGCAAAGGAATGCCTCTACCATTGGGAACATATCTACAGCGGAATCAATGTCGGCCATTTTTAAAAATTATACAAACACAAATTTCAATGGAAGGTATGTTTAAACGATTGTTTCACATATTCTATAAGGTATTGATTACTGAAATACGTACATTGTTTTGTTGTAGTCCAAGTTTCAGCCAACTAGACTCCTCTACGTGGAACATAGATATGCAAGAGCTGGAGTATAATCCATCGAAAAAAGATTTGACTGATGCAAAAATTCATCATCTTTTGGCCGAAGAACTATGCAAACCATTTAGACGTGTAAGCATCAGAATACTTTTAAAATAGTTTATATATCTTGACATTTATTTGTAGGTAATGCAGTTTCTGTTCAGCATTCTTTTTTTGAAATTATTTGTTATAGCACCGTCGTTTAAGCTACAGTAGACATGCGGTGAATGATCGTGATTTGGGAATACAAGTTAACTACAAAACCCATATGAATATCCGACGACGCGTCGGTGATAGGAAACACCATCATAAACGCAGTAAACGTGGGAAACAGGTGAGCCAATTAATTGTATCTGCATTATTAATATAACTTCGCTCTGAACGCTCCAAAATTGTTTTTTAAAAATCTTTTAATACGAATTAAAGAGCAGTACCAGATCATTCAAGGCTTTGGCATACAATAGAAGTCAATAAGGCGTAGTTTTAAGTTTGGGTATTTTTTTAATTGCAACTAAAAAGGCAGATAATTGCTATTCATCATTTTTTTAATTTTTGGGTTAGAATGAGAAATGAAACGTAGTTTTGTTTTATTTATTACAGGAAGGCAAAAATCATGTCACATTCCCCGAATTCCAGCAAAACGGTTCGGCCAAACAGTTCACGCACGGTAAAATAAAGTATTATAGATTAGGTACTTAACTTATTCTTTATTATAATCACGAGTGTCGATCGCATGCACGTGTGGGTCCAAGTATTTATTTTTTTGTTTAAAATTTTCATTTTATGGTAACGTTATTCATTGTAACGTTTGTTTGCTGAGCACTACAATATGCTTTTTATGCACAGTGCCGTCGGTGCTTAATAGAAAACGGAGTTACATTAAAACACAAAATTTGATTTCATAGTGCATGCTTAATGATTTTGCTGTAGTCATGGACCTTGGTTCAATTAAGATAAATATTATCACGAAAGACATTTTGAGAAAAGATACACTTGTTAGATATGAATACCGAATGATGATTTTGGAAATTTCATTATAATCCCTAAAAGATTTCTTCACAATAAAATAAAATATTTAGTTAAGATATCTACTTTATCATCACAACATAAATATTAGTCTTTCTTCCTTTCATCAAAAGAAAATATAAAATAATCAGTAGGAATCATTTCACTAGACGCTCATACGAAAGAAAAACTCTAAATCTTTGGTAGATTAGATATTATTAGGCGCTCGTTCAAGGCACCATTTTATTTTTCGCGATTTACATTGATTATAAGTAAAACTACGATTCACAGATTATATCGATGAAGTCCTCCAAGAAGAGTGCGAGGAAAGAGAACCAAGGCGAGAAGGTGACGACGGCGGTATTACTTTCACTGCAAAATCCCCGCGTAGGTATTCTGCATGACCACCCATGCAACTTTGACGTTTGGATCTGAATATCGCTAGATGTACTAAATGGAAGCTATTTACTTATTGTTTTTAATGGGTCCTCTGCTGTACCTTTGAATAGTCAAGTACGAAATCATGATCCAAAATTTGGTGGTAAGAAATGCCTTTTGACATGAAAGTTTAGATGGGCTAATTGAGTGTTTATTAAATTATCTTTAAGCTTACTGATTACTTAAAACAAGCGTTAACCGACTACTATCGCTCTCTCATCGCTATTGTCACTATCAATGTCAAATTATTCGGGATTCAAATCCAAACAATGCTTAATGTTGTGTACAACGTATTTCTCACTTATTTTGCACTTGAGTATTTCTGATTTAACATAAATATTAAATTGGGTTAATTTTTTACTTCATTACTAAGTGGTACAAGTACAAGAGTTAGTTTGCTGAAGAACCTACCGGTATGGCTACCTGTGGGAATGGACGTAAATGTGGTGGCATGACCATTATCTTCTCTTTGTGATACTACTTTGAACCTTTTCAATTTAATTTGTTTTGAAATAATTATTTTGGCTTACCTGTAAACATAGAGAACTGCAGTTTTGAACTTAAAATAGATTATATTGAAATTCAGTTTCCAAAAATTTAAAACTTGAAACATGTTTAGTTTAAATTTTATTTTAATATAGTTCTCTATGTTGACTAATCTGTCTCCTGCCACATGTAAGCTAATCCTTGTTCCTTATAGACTCACGGTTTCATTATTGCTTGTTTTTAACGTTTGTTTGATTGACGTTTTCTTCCCTTCTGGCGAACTTCATGTGGCACCGCAATTACCGATATATCTCGACAACTGGCGTTAGCGGGATACAAAGAAGTCAGTCCAACGTCTTCGCATAAAGAAAATAGTAGTTCGCTCTTAAACCAGTTGGCTAATCTACCTGGATTCAATCCATTGAAAGCAAGAATCGTAAAGCAATACGCTAAAACGCCAGAAGAGATTCTGCCGACAGCTGTTGAGAAATCATTACCGTGGAGAAGGGACAGATCCACGTATAACTTTGGTATGTGTTTATAGAAATAAGGATTGTCATCACTGCCTTTATGATGCGTCTGATGATCTGATCTCTGTTTAGAGCACACGGCAAAGAAGTACAAAAACTTGTGAATGTTATTTTTAATGTAAAGAATCGTTAAAATCTAATGAATTTAAAGTACTTTATTTCATTGAAAATGCGGGGTTTATGTTTGTGACACATAATTAGTAATACTAATATCGTAGTTTGTGGACTGTTAAAAAGGGCGCGGTGACTGGTTAATGTTTTTTTAATTTTAATAGATTCACTGATAAACAATCTTACAAAATAAAACGATGTACCAACCACGTACCAAAAATCGCTGTTTTAAGAAAAAAATAATATCTATATGGACCCAAGCTTTTGTTAACTTTTTTCAATATGATAAGATACATTTAACTTTAAAAGGAATCGTGATACATATTTATAATAAAAAATAATTACATAATATCTTAACTGTGTAAACAACATCTATATTAAATATTACTATATTTGTAATTTTTGACTGAGACACTTGTACCATTAACCAGTCACCTTATTACTGGTCAGCATTTATAGTTAGTATTAGAAAATAACAGATCATACTTTAGTTTTGGACTACAACTAACATCACTTTATTGCCTTTTTCCGTCACCCATCCTTTACTGTCGCTTCGAACTACCATTTGTTAGAACTCTAGCAAATGGAGGTTCTTAACGACAGTAAAGGATGAAGTGACCCATAATGCACAAATATAAAATAAAACTGTTATAGATCATCGAACTGTAATAATAAATTTGCCGAGTGCACGATTTACACCATCACTCCTTGTTATATGCTTTCCTGAAAAATGAATGGATAATATGAGATATGTGATTTTAAGTACTTATTAATATATAATAGAGCGTCTTGAGAGTGCTAATGTCCATTAAAAGAAAAACCTTCTATGTAGCCAGTATTAATTTATTTTTTTAATTAAGAGTGAAGAAAAATTTATAGACAGTGGTAAGTGCTTTTGTGCGTTTTAACAAAAATGCAATGAAAATAATTCCTGTTCCTGACTAGTTTTTAGTAGTTTTGTAATTATAATAACATATTTTGACGAGTATTTTTGTTGGCTATCATCAAAATTTCAAAATAGCTGAGCAGATTTTTCGTTCACTTGTAAACACGCTATATAAAAGTCGAGGAACAAAGAAAATGATAATATGACCGAGCTGTATGTATCTACATTTGTGTTTTTGTAAAGTTATTAACAATTTTTCTTTTTAATATATTTTTAAAAACCTATATAGCTTAACAAGAAAAAAATTGTGGTCAATTTAAACATCCTTTTGCTTAATTAAGTAGAGACTTTAAAAACTCTTTTTTTTCTAAGTTTTATGCTCGTAACGTTAACTTGTAAGTGTATATAGGTCTAAATAAAGTTATTGCATACAAGAGGTTGCGTATATAACAAAGAGTGATATATAATAAAATACTTTAAAAATAGATATTTATTGTTTTGAGCTTTTTACCATCAGTATTTCATCAGGCGTTACAATAATTTTACAAGTACAGAAAAATGCATGTTCCTACTAAACACATACTTACATTCTATTTTTTTTCGGATTCTATCACCTAGTTGCACAAACGTCCATTAAAATTGTCATTACTGTCATTATCGATACAAATATTCAAATTTTGAGCATTCATTTAAAGCTTAAACAGAGACTCTGACTTAAAGTCGTAATTAAATCTTAATAGACGTTTGTGCAACAGCTGGGTGTCTAGATGTCTATCTAAAAAACTATGCTTTTAGTAGATACTCTCGTTGAAATAACCGCATTTGTTATATTATATATGACACAAATAATTTTTTTACATCGTCTTGGATGAATTCTTTGATTCCCATACTATTAGTCTTCAGCGAACGCGTTTATGGTCTTTAGAAATCACTTGTTTCAGTTACAGTCTTTACAAATTACACATTGCCTTATGGAGAACTTTTGTCGAATATTCAGCGGCCATATGCTGCATCTGTTAGTTCATCAACTGCTCTTGAAATGAAATGATGACCAGGGAGAATACATAATATTCATTACGTTTTCACCAACATGCCTCTTAATATTAATAAGTACCTAGGACATCATCAGAAATATGAATATTAAACAATATTTCTATACATTTTTAAGTAACGAGTAGTAGAACTATTTCGATAAATCTATATCATTTCAATCAACGTCATTTATTGAAGCAACTTACCTTATAAATTATTAGTACGTATGATACAGCTCGTTTAGAAACAAATGTGGTTATTTATAAGTAGAACAAAAATAGTTATACGTAGTTAACTGTATAAAGAGTAAGTATCTACTTATTTTCATATTTTACGATGAGAAATTGTTATTATAATTAAATTGTTCATCTTGTTCAAAATAGCAATCATAAACGTATTAACGAAAGGATCACTCTTATAAAAGGCAGATGTTTTGAAATAAAATATTTCTGATTTTTTTTTTATTTATTAACGAATATATGCCTTTTGGATCCACTATTATAACTAATTATATTTTTTCCATGAGCTTCCTACATGAGAATTATTTATAGATAATTATTTCCGCACATTAATATTCAAAAATATAATTACCTTAATAAAGCATGTTTTGCAAGATGTTCAATCCCTATATGAAGTACCTATTCGTTTATGAGCGTCACAAATATTTCATTTTTTAGTTCCAAATGAGGATATCCTTGAAGAAGACGAAAGAAGAATGTCAGATGACAATGGTAAGTAGACTATCATAAGGTACAATGTAAAATATAGTGTATTTCCTCGCCTCCGATTTAATTAGCGATAAAAGCTTTTCAAGTCGATTACTGTTTGAAAAAATTTTGATTAGAAGTACTTTAAATATTTAGAATTTATTTATTTACGTTTTAGTGCGCACAAATAAATACTCGTTTTAATTTTTTTTTTTTTAATTATAATAAATAAATTTTTAAATAACCATAATATTGCATTGTCATCTGATTTACATGTCTATGCAAAACTTTAAATCTATCTGACATTGGGAAATGAGTTATATTTGAGTTCCAAAACTTGCGCACTAACTAACATACTATTACAACTTAGGGTTCGGGATAAAAATTAACGTCAATTTAATTCATAATCCGACTCTTTATTTAACAATGTAATATTACAAAAATAATTCCATAACACCAAAATATACACTTCAATTTCACTTCGCTATGGTCATTTTATGAAAGGAATAGATCTAGCTATCTATTAGTTATTGCTAATACAAGTACTTTTACTAGATACTTTTCTTTCGATACCAAGTACTTTTGTAATCGATACTTTAGAACAGAGTACGAAGTAGTATCGTGATATATGTATTTGTATCGGTACTTGGTCGGTCACTCAATGAGGAGTGCCAAAAAACTCGCGTACATAAGACGGTTTGTGTCCTCATTTTCTAGACACATACATGGCAGTGGCGGAACACGCGCGCGTTGCTACTCCTACCGCTACAGAGACAATGTTGCCATGGAAACGGGAGGAAGCTGAAGGTTCGGGTGCCCTGAAACAGTCCGAGTTCCCGGCATGGGCGTCCAACAAGGAGTACTTAGCGTATAGTTCACCATCAGCCACATTTTTAGGTAAGAAAAATACTTAAATATAAAATATTTAGGTTCCTATTTGTGATTACATTGATTTAATGAAGCTGTGATGCATAACTAAGGTGTGATAAATATTGTAATATCATCATGATACGGATCAATGATCATTGTATTGATCTTATTTCACAGGAAATAATTTAGACATTTATTTTACTATCTTTTATAAATGCCTCTTTTTTAGAACTCACCTATTATGATATTATTTTAATAAAGCCAATCCAACTAGACATGTTTCATGTAGCATAAAATGTTGTATGCCACAAAACAGCGGTATAACTACACTGCTTGAGGACTGTCTACCTGTAGTAAAGTTGAAAACAATACCAAATGTTGTGACGTCTATTCTCACATGACTCTCTGACTCTCTGTGATTGCCGGTCCCTTCCGACCGAAGACGTGTGGCATTTTGCATGTCTTGCCACTGTGTTATTATGCCACTGAACCTTACCTACTGATACTTATAATTATGATTGTCTTACTTACTTTTTATTATCATTAGTGCACGATTTTGAGTTCATATCTTGCACTGTTTCCTGAACTTTTAGCAATAGTTATGAATGATACTTATGTATAAATTTTTCTGATTTGAGTTTTTCTCTTTCCCCATCCTTTATCATTCCTATCATCATCAATAAGGCGGTATAGAGAAGCCAAAACATCCAAAATCTATCATAGGTCTCTTTCGAAGAGAGAGTTCTAGTTCTACACAAGGAGCAGGGGAGGCAGTGGCCTCAGATTCGGAGGGTGCTAGAGGAGAGGGAAGTTTGAAGGGAGAAACGAGGAGTGAAGCAGGTCCTCAGCCCCGACAGGGGACTAGTATGTTGTCCAAGAGAAGCACGAGTTTGGGGGGACCATCGGTTCTGCTGATGGAGGATGTTGCCCATTCGGACCCACTAGGTGCTTCATCGAGGCCTGCCAGCATCATGCAAGGACCACATCGTGGACAATGCCGAAGAGGGTCTATGTTGGAGCTCACTGGGTAAGCAACAATGCTATAAAATATCAAATCCTAGAAGTCAAACTTCTAGCAAATTCCTTAAATATAACACTGACATTAGTGTAAATGGCTGAACTAGGTTTTTTGTCAACTCTTTTAAAATAAATACAAGTTTTATGATACAGACTGTAATATTTTTAGAAATAAAGCAAGATACTAGATACGAGTTCAAGATGATCGATCAATCGGTATATATTTTTTTTGAAGAGTTGCGTCGTATAAATTTATATAGCGACTGGGCGTTAGCACATATTTGCGGGTAGGGGGTGAGACGCAGCGTGTAACCATAGCAACACTGTATACCGGAGATTGAAACCTCCGCGAAAGAATAACATTTTATTTATTCAACTTACATGCCACTCATTATTGTGTGCTTTTAGATACATCATTATGAATATAAATAGAAATATACACTTGTTAACAAATAATATAGTGCTGTAGTTTATCATAGGTCATAATGGCGCGCAGTATTTATCGGTCATTGAATTTATTATTCTGAACTTCTGCCTAGTTTAAGTTAGTTCCCAAAGCTTCAATAGTTAGTACATCAATTCCTTATGGCCCAATCCACAGAAATGGCTTGTGATAACAATGGAAACATTAAAAGTCTAATAATTAAATGCCTCTAATATAATAATTTACAGATCATTATCACGAGATGCTATCACCGAAGAGAAATGTTGCAAATCTCTGCCCGAGAGCGAAAGGATGGGTGTAAGACGATTGCCGTTAGGTCAACAAAGCTTGCCACGAGAACCTTTCATTCGGCAACTGACTATGGCCTCAACGCTACTAACCAGCTCATCTTCAGACGATTCATCCGATGAAACCACCTGAAAGCCCCGCCGTGGTGACCCTGACCGGTTGCCACTGTTAAAATACCGAACATTAGATTAAATGTTATTCAAAAAGTCACAATTTAGGTACGTGATAATTTTGACAAGTTTGATAAAGCATTTAAATTTGCGGAATTTGCGGCTGAATAGAAAAGTGGATTTTGCATGAAGCAATTATGATAATGTGAAAGTTATAAACCAACACTTTCTTAAACAGTGCTGTGAATTTGTGGTGTAGAACTCTATAAAATGTAAACTAGATAATAAAGTGGCTTAAAGTATGTTAATTGAATAAATTAAGAAATTAATTCTATATCTTGGCTTACATTAAAAAAGGTCTTGAAAAAAAAACTGATAAAATAACATTAGGAAATATGATAGTGTGGTTTCTGGTATAATAGAACACCAGAATTGTTTGACAATTTACATGTACTTCTGTAGCATATTAAAAAAACCGCAGTTTTTCCAGTTCTTAATGACATAGTTGGGGGTAAATCTATTGTTTTTTTTTATTTAACCATTAATAATTTTAATGTTCATTTACATTGTTCCTTATTTTTTAAATGTTTTATCCCACAGTTGGGTCATTATGAAAAGTCACATATGACATCTATCAATCTGAACTTGATAGTGAGGTCTTTTTCAATTTTTTTGATTGATCTAACAAATCGATATGGTTTTCAAAAAAATGGGAATTGAATAAAGTTATTGTGCAAATATAATATTAATTTTATGATTATTATCAATATATTATGTACTTCGTTAAATTAATTTATTAAATCATGTATAGAAGAAAATCACAGATAATTGCTCACAGCAATGGATGTCGAATTACGCCGCGAAAACTGATGAATTACTTGCAAAATTCATTTATTGACTATTGTTAACTGCTGCATGATTCCATTGGCCACAAAGTGATTACTTGTTTATCAATTTTCCCCATAAAAAAATAATTTCAATAAGAAATGGAGTAAATTGGGAATTTTAGGGGTTACTTTGTTATGTGTTGTATAGAGAAAATTTTATAAATTCGCGTTTTGTATTAGAATTATGTTTTTTTTATAATTTTTAATGGTACAACTTAAATTTAAAGTTAGTCGTCTTTGGTTCATGCGCCCTCTTAAATGTAACTAGGAATTTGAACACCATTACCAAGTCAATTATATGAGTTTATTAAAGATTTCGATAGATCAGTCAGATAATAGAAAAATATTAAATACGTTTTTTTTACTTCTTATAATATGTTTACAATAAACTAATTATAATAATATGTTTTCTACATTACAAGGTTACTTTGAAGATGAGACTGAGAGATGTCAAATGTGACCTATTATAATTACCCAACTGTAGGCTTCTGTTTTATTTAATATGACTGTATTTTTAATAGATATCATAATTTTTTTATAAATATTATATTGGTATGAGACTATCATTCGTAACTGTTAAGAGAAACCAGTGTCGAGTTGTAAGAGAAGAGATGATTACTTTAGGTAAAGATATTCTTAAAACTATCTTTGCACGATCGCCGAATAGTAAGAATTTCTTACACTTTTTCCACCCAATGATCGTCGAAATTCGACCTTTATGCTTACTGATAGATATCGTAAGCATTTTATGCTCACTCCACTTAACAAAATTAGATGAAGCTTAGCGAGCGCAATAGCAATACGTGTGCTCACGACTGAAAGAGATATAATGAGGGGTCATTGTACGAATTTCTCTCTGTTCAGCGACTGTGCTTATATCGTGAATATTTTTCTACTCTTGTAAACATTGTTTCCCTTAATGAATTTGTAATAAAAAGCAAGGAATTCGTCTGGTTTTCTGAACTTGATTATCGTAAATATATTATTGTATTATTATGTAGGTATGTAAGTATATTTAATATTTTTTTAAGCACATTAAGACTGGTCGCAGTGTTTTTATAATTATAGTCTTAATTTTTAACGCACTGTAAGATATTTCACTATCATGGTTTTTAATGCTATAATGATGATGAAAAATTTTTTCAAAAACAATATAGAGAAGTGAATTTGCTTCAAATGTTCTAACCATTTTTGTGCGTTTAACCGTGTATGATGAGATGGAGATATGTCTTATAAAAACAGCCTTGTAAACGTCGTCGAAGGCAGCGCAGCGTAACATAGAGGTTCTATGAAATAAAACCTTTCAAGTAACCATTATAAACTAACCATAATAAATAAATTTTATATGATTGAACTTCTACTATCTGTCATCACTACGCTCGTAGTCGAATTAAAGGCTGTTTTGATAACAGAACTGTAGAGCGTTTCTGTAAAAATCCTAACCTGAATTCGAATTCACTCATGTGTTCGTCACGTCATTTAGTGAAGAAATTCTATTTATTCTATTTTTTTTGTTTAAAAATATAAAACAAAATTGATCGATTATACGTGTCTCAGATATTCTATTCCTATGTCATTACGAAACTTAAATTCAAATTCATTTATTTGTCAAATTTTTGAATTCAGACGATTGGAATTCAGACACCTGAGTAATTTCGAATTCGGGTTTGAATTTTCACAGAATCGCAGGGCAGCACTACTAAGAATGAGTAGCACAGCAACAAATTGCTGAAAATGTACGAGGGTCAAACTGAAAGTTCTTAGAACTGGCCACTTATAAACAATATAATAAAAAAATAATTCTAAAATTTGAAAATATAACTCTTTGCCAATATTACTGAGTATATATTTCATTCATTTGTCATTTGTTTTACGATTTGGCGGCAAATTGAAAATTGTCTGTGTCACGTCATCATGAATTTAACACGAGAAAATTTTCGTGCAATGATTTTTTATGACTTTCGATGTCATTTAAGTCAACAAGAAAGTTATGATAGACTACGATTGGCCTTTCACGATGAAGCCCCATCTCGTGCGACTGTTTACAACTGGTTTAATGAGTTTAAACGTGGTCGCACTAATCTCACTGATGATTTACGTGAGGGACGGCCTTCTACGGCGACGACTGAAGATAACATCTGTGTTGTGCGGCGTATGATAGAGACTGACAAAAGAGTGACCTATCAACAGATTCGGACAAGCTTAGGCATCGGTATGAGTCAAGTGCACAAAATCCTCCACGAACATTTAGCGGTCAGGAAGCTTTGCGCCCGGTGGATACCTCATAATTTGACTGAGGCTCAAAAACTCCATCGTGTGGATTGGTGTCGTAAAATGATTGAAAGATTTAACGGAGGTGACTCAAATGCTGTGTTCGACATACTAACAGGTGACGAAAGCTGGATTTACTGTTAAGATCCTAAAACCAAAAGACAATCTGCTCAGTGGGTGTTTCCTTTCGAGGAGTTGCCAACTAAAGTGAAGAGAGATCGAAGTGCGGGAAAAAAAATGGTGGCCTCGTTCTTTGGAAGGATAGGTCATTTTGCAACAATTGTGTTAGAGGATCAAAAAACAGTTTCTGCAGAATGGTACACTACCAATTGTTTGCCACTTGTCTTGGAAAAAGTTCGAGAGAAACGACCTCGCAGTAGGATCCTCCTTCACCACGACAACGCCTCGTCGCACACCGCCAAGCGAACGATCGACTATTTGGCGACATCAAACGTTGAATTACTGGGTCACCCGCCGTATAGCCCCGACCTCGCGCCTTGTGATTTTTATTTATTTCCAAAAATTAAAGAAAAACTTAAAGGAAAGCGGTTTATGAATGCTGAAGAAGCGGTGGCTGCGTATCGCGATGCCATTGAAGAGACCCCTAAGGACGAGTGGGCAAAGTGCTTTTCCCAGTGGTTCCATCGCATGCAGCGGTGTATTGACGTGAATGGACAATATTTTGAAAAGATATAATAAAACTAATAACTGGCTAATGTAATCAGTTTTTGATTTTCTAAGAACTTTCAGTTTGACCCTCGTACATATATCTTGTTATGTGTTATCAAGAAAATGTTTTGTTTTGTTAGTTTTGGTGGTCATGATAGTAGAGCGATTTTCATGGAATCGCTCTACTGATCTCATATTAGGTTGTCTTATCTTACAAGATGCAGGCTTTTTTATTTATACGAAAAAAATAAGATTTTTTTACTAACAACGCATATATGGGATTTGATAAGATTTTTAAAACAACTTATGCTACGCAAAAATAAAACTGAATGGGATTATTATCGAGGCTTGAAAACGGGTCTAATGAAAAACAGTTTGACCCAGAAAACATCAAAACGGTTTATTTTATTCTGTCGTTCATTTTAACCGGTTTTAATATCAATCTGAGCAATGATCTCACGAACATTAACAAGGTTATATAACAGTATGTCATAAAAATCGGTTTTTGCCTAAATCATAATAGTCTATTATGAAACAGTTCCAAACATTGCTTTCATCCCCATTTCATCCCCAGATTATTACTGCAACCTTTACTAATGTGCTTTTCATACATTATAGGCAACTATTGCCAATGACAATACTGTGCTTTTTACAGATACAATAATGTAGATACGTAGTTCTAGATTAGATTTGTGTTTGTTAATGTTAAAATAAGTAGAGAATGTTGATAAAGAATAATTTTTTTAAAGTTACTATCAATTTTTTTCCTACAAATTACATTAATTTCTTTAAACTTAATCACACCAAATAACTATACAAATTATTTTTACAAAAGTTTTTATTCATTCACCTACATCGTCGGGTAAATTTTTTACCTATTAGGTAAAAGTTAACCGGCATAACAAAGAATTTTGATGTTCTAATGCATATTATATAATTTGGTCTAAATTCAAAGTAATTGTACATAAAACCAATGTGTATTTTTCAATCAGCTAAAGTTTTTAGGGTTCCGTAGTAAACAAGGAACCCTTACAGTCACGCAATGTCAGTTTTTCCAATACTCTAAAACTTTGGTACTTGAAAGTTGTAATTTGGCATGAGTATTAACGTTAATTACGCCGACAAAGTGGTAACGCAAAATATGTATATAAAAAATAGGGTACCTCTCCTACATTGTACATTGCAGGAGAGGTAC